GTCAATGAGATAAATCCAAATTTTAACTTTTTTTTTCTATTTTAATGAAAGTTTATAAAGAAACTGAATTTCCATTCTTTCATTGTTGTGCATCTTCGTCCCTGTTCCCCCGCCCCCCAGTTTGCTTTTTTCTTGGAAAAAAAGCTCTTTCATTGTTATACATTCCCCCCACCCCACCAGACCACTTTACTATGCAACTCTTATTATGGACTCTTGTCAGGCCAATAATACCTAATCATATATTCCTTTTATACAGTTCTCTTCCTTTTCTGTTTCAATGCAGTGTACATTATTTATCCCCTCTTTTCTTAGTTTTCCCCCAACCTCCATATCAGTCCTGTTCTATAATAGTGGCATTATGCAGTATTTGTCTTTTTGTCTTATTTGAGATACTTCACTCAGCATTATGTCCTCCATGGTCACCCATTTTGTATACTATTTCATGAGTTCTTTGTTTTTTCAGTGTTGCATAATATTCCATTGTGTGAATATACCACAGCTTCTCTATCCATTCTTTTGTTGATGGGCATTTGGGTTATTTCCAACTCTTTCCTCTTGTGAACAAAACAGCAGTAAACATGGATGTGCACCAAATTTTAACTTTCTAAGGAAAATAGCTTGGGAAATATATGTGAGATAGGTAGATTGAAAATCCCTTTCTCTGCCAAGCAACTTCACAAGAAAATCTACAGCACTTTGGGAAATATGTTATGAAGTACTCAATGTTACCCATCTAATTCCAAGCAAAAGTTTAGGCTATTTAGTAAAGACATGCTTTGGAGATCATCAGGCCATAGGCAAGTTACTCGTATGAATTACGTGGACTATTTAGTTCCCAGTGTATATCAAAGTTATGTTTGCATAACAATGTTTACTGTAGCCATGAAGTATTCGAGAGCTTTATGAAAAAGTGTGAAATGCTGTTAGAATCATTAGAATGTGACGTAGAGACACAGAGCTAGCAGATGCTATTGAATCATGTCACTGATAAATAAACTGACTTGCTTGCCACAGGGTTTCCAAAAACCTTTTGATTTGTAGAAAATGTGTTCTCTTCAAAATGCATTAAATAAGGTATGCCTGTATCATTTAGTTACTGAGGAGAAGCAAGGCTAGACTGGCTTTTTCCCCAGAGCGTAATGAAAAGACCCATCTTTGTGATCACATTTTACAGTAAAGCAAATTAGGCCAGGTGTTAATTTTGTGTAACTCTTAAACCATCCTTAGTATATTCACTAAGTATAAACTTTAACAACCCAATTGTTCTTTTACAGCCTAATTGAGAAATCATGTCTTTGTCTTTGTTTTGAGGTTCAGTTGATCACTTATTTCAGAGTCTCAAATTATCAGTGAAATTAGTAGGCAGGACAGGATTGTTGTTATTGTTAGGTGCTGTCAAGTTGACTAAGACTCAGACACAGCCTACGAACAGCAGACCTGAATTTGGCTCTATCCTGTGCCATCCTCACCATCCCGGTTATACTCAAGCTCATTGTCAGAGCCACCGTATCCATCTTGTTGAGGGTCTTTCTCTCTTGCTGACCCTCCCACCTTTCCAAGCACGGTGTCCTTTCTAGAGAATTGAGCCCTCCTAACAACTCTGGTGGCCTAGTGGTAAGTAACTAGCCTGCAGTGCCAAGGTCAGGTAGATTGAATCCACCAACTGCTCCTCAAGAGAATAGTGGGCAGTCTTCTCCTTTGTGATTAACTTTCTCTGAAAACCTGCTGGCGGATCAGCTATGGGTAGATTCTGACTCGACAATAAACAACAACATGCCCCAAGGATATGAGACAAAATTTCATCATCATTGCCTTTAAGGAGCACTCTGGCTATACCTTCTCCAAGACCTATTTAACAGAGTTCGTTAAATGGTGGGCTGCTAACTGAAAGAGTAGTAGTTCAAACTTCAAACACACCAACTGCTCCATGTGTAAAAAATGAGACTGTTTCTTTAATGGAAAAAAAAAAACAACCAAAAAACCAAAAAGCACCATTATATAATTTTTAAATGTAAAAAAAAAATAACATGAAAACTCTGATGGATATTGCCAACTGCAGTGGGTTTGTTTTATTTTTCAGACAACCTGAAAGTCCTTAAGTTTAGCCTTATTTATAATCTAGATTTCATTAAAAACCATGAGGCTAATTTCCATTTTACAACAAGGAAATTGTCATGTCATGGTATATTTTCTATAATATTCACCACTAACTTCATCTGATTGATCTCATCTATCTACATGAAAGTTAAATGTTTTGGGGGCCTGAAACCCACTTTGGTACAGATATTGTTAACCAGGAGACAAATCTAAAATCTTTATTTGCCAGAATATAATTTAAAAGGAAAATAAAACTAACAAAATAGTTGCTATCTTTGTATCCTGATTTTATGTTATTTTTATGAAGTCATATTTCCCATTAAGTGTATTGGTATTTACCAACCTGGCTGATAAATAATGTCATTGTTTTTTATTTTGAGGTTCAGACCAATGCTTGTCTCACATTTTCAAGTTACCAATGAAATTAGTAGGTACTTTCAAATTATATGCTAAAGAAATCTAGGCCTATTGTTAAGTAACAATACTTAAAGGTTTCTAATTTTAATACAGTATATATAATAATTAATATTAGGGACATTTTCCTTATTATATTTTAATATCAACTCAAAAATAATAAGTCATTGCTGTCAGTCATTGCCTCATAGCTGACCCTCTGGCAAGTTTCAGGAGGCTGTAAATCACATGGGAGGAGACTGTCCATCCTTCCGCTGTGGAGTCACTAGTAGATTCAAACCTGGAGATGTGTAGTCTGTGTTAGTTGTCAAACTCCCTAAAAGCCATCAGAATACACTTCATGTCATCTAGAAAACTCCTTCACTAAGGGAATCTTTGGTGATATGGATGGTTAACAAGTTTGGCTGCTATGTAAAAGGCTAGAGTTTTGAGTCCACCCCAGAGACAACTTGAGATAAGAGTGTGGCAATTAAAAAAAAAAAATTCAACCACTTACACACCTATTCTATTCTATTCTATTCTATTCTATTCTATTCTATTCTATTCTATTCTGACACACTGAGTCAGAGTTGATAACAACTGATTTTAAAAATAAACTGACTTATAGTTAAAAACAAATCCAAAACCAAACCCACTGCTGTCCAGTCCATTACAGCTCATGACAACTGGTGGCAACCCTCCACCAGTTCCTCAGGCTATAATTTTAACAGGAAGAGATTATCTTTCTCCTGTGGAGAGGTTAGTAGCTTCCAACTGCTGTCCATTCAGTTAGCATCCTGCCACTTTGCCGCTAGGGCTTCTACCTTATGGTGTTAGTGTTACGTGGCCTGAGTTGGAAACTTCTCATAGCTGACCCTTTAGCAGGTTTTAAGAGGCCGTACACAGCATTAGAGGAGACTGTCTATTTCTCTCTGGTGGAGGACCTGGTGGATTCAACCTGCTAGCCTTTGAGTTGTCAGTGCAACTCCTTACCCACTGTTGTTAAGTACTGTTGAGTCAAGTACAATTTATACTGACCCTATGAACAGCAGATCTGAACCCTGGTCTATCTTGTGCCATCCTCATAAATTTTTACATACTTGAGGCCTTGGGCTTTGAAACTGGCATTGGCACTGAGGAATCCAGCCAATCCATCTCCATCCAGCCTTGGGCCCATGAGCCCTAGGGCTTTGCACAGGGTACAGACAACAAGGAGCTAGCCATGCCAGAGCCCATGGCATAATACCCCCATCCAGGGCCCCATCGTGCTGTGCCCCCCATGGGCTTCATATGGTGACAGAGAGTTGTCCTGCACCATGGTATTTGTATGCCTTGTTGTGTGTATGGTTTGCTATTAGAGGTACAACACCCATATGTCAGTTTATTATATTGCAGGGATGGTTTGTACAACACCCATATGTCAGTTTATTATATTGCAGGGATGGCTTGCATGTAGCTACATATTTTACAGTTTAGATATGTATATACTTGCTTGTTTATCACTTGCTTTTATTAATCCAGCACTTGTCTGTCAGCTTGCTGTACTGCAGTAATTTGTGGTTTGCTGTGGTGATGGAACCTTTGTCACTAGTGTTTCAAATGCCAGTAGGGTCACTCATGGTGAGCAGGTTACAACAGTGCTCCCAGATTAAGGCAGACCAGGAATCAGGATTGGCCATCCACTTCTGAAATAACAGGTCTTGAAAACCCTATGAACAACAGAGGAACACTGGTAGCTATGTAGTATTAAGAAGTAGAGCCCAAATTGGAAGTCACAGACAAATAGCTGCAACCATTCTTACCCACTAGGTCACCAGTGATCATTAAAAACAGGGTGAGTGGCTGCTATTCCCATTTTACAGGTATTACTTTGCCGCAGAGAGCTCTGGTAGCCTAGTGACAAGAAGCTGCACTGCAATCCCAAAGGCATGCAGTTCGAGGCCACCAGCTGCTCCGCAGGAGAAAGATGGGCACTCTCCTCCTGTGTGATTAACTGCCTCTGAAAACCCTCTGGAGGGTCGGCTATGGGTCGGCTCCAAGTCCACAATACACAGTAAGAACAACTTTGATGCATATTGTAGCATGGGTAACAGAAACAGGACAGGTAACGGGTAATGTTGTTGTTGTTGTTGTGTACCACCTATTTGGAACCGACCCATAGCTGACCCTCCGGCAGGTTTTCAGAGGCAGTTAATCGCACAGGAGACTGTTTTAGTGAAGCAGCTGCTGGCCTCCAACCGGGACGCTTCCGGATTGCAGTGCAGCTTCTTGCCACTAGGCCACCAGAGCTCCCTTATATGGTATGAACAGTAGGAAACATTAGCGAGACGAGGCATAGGAAAGTTGACGCCTCCTCCTTGCCCAGAAAGCCAGGCTTCCTTTAGCATCCCCTGCGTCCCTGCTCTGCCTTGGTTCTGCACGCGCTCACTGCACCCTTGTTGATTTTACTCTGTCTCCCTTAGGTTGCTGCCCCTGCTGCCCGCTGGGCGGGCTTCCCGCCGCCACCGCGGCCATGACGACCGCCATCTTGGAGCGTCTGAGCACGCTGTCGGTGAGCGGGCAGCAGCTGCGCCGCCTTCCCAAGATCCTCGAGGGCTGCCTTCCCAAGATGCCTTGCACCGTCCCGGAGAGCGACGTGCCGCCGCTCTTCCGCGAGCCCTACATCCACGCCGGCTACCGGCCCACGGGCCACGAGTGGCGCTACTACTTCCTCAGCCTCTTCCAGAAACACAACGAGGTCGTCAACGTCTGGACTCACCTGCTGGCGGCTCTGGCTGTGCTCTTGAGATTCTGGGCCTTCGCCGAGGCTGAGGTGCTGCCGTGGACCTCTCCGCATTCCCTGCCCCTGCTCGTTTACATCCTGTCTTCCTTCACCTATCTCACGTGCAGCCTTCTGGCGCACCTGCTGCAGTCCAAGTCGGAGCTCTCGCACTACACCTTCTACTTTGTAGACTACGTGGGTGTGAGCGTGTACCAGTATGGCAGTGCCTTGGCCCACTTCTTCTACAGCTCCGACCAGGCCTGGTATGAGCTGTTCTGGCTCTTCTTCCTGCCCGCCGCAGCTTTCTGTGCCTGGTTGTCTTGCACGGGCTGTTGCTACGCCAAGTATCGTTACCGGAGGCCTTACCCAGTCATGAGGAAGATCTGCCAGGTGGTCCCCGCGGGGCTGGCCTTCGTCCTGGACATCAGCCCCGTCGCGCACCGCGTGGCGCTCTGCCACCTGGCTGGCTGTCAGGAGCAAGCCGCCTGGTACCACACCCTCCAGATTGTTTTCTTTCTGGTCAGCGCCTACTTCTTCTCCTGCCCGGTGCCTGAGAAGTACTTCCCCGGCTCCTGTGACATCGTGGGCCACGGGCATCAGATCTTCCATGCCTTTCTGTCCGTCTGCACGCTCTCCCAACTAGAGGCCATCCTCCTGGACTTCCAGGGGCGCCAGGAGATCTTCCTGCAGCGCCACAGCCCTCTGGCCGTCTACACGGCCTGCCTGTCCTTCTTTTTCTTGACTGCCTGCAGCGCCGTCACAGCAGCCTTCCTGAGGCACAAAGTCAAGTCCAGACTGATGGCCAAGAAGGATTCCTGAGGCCAGCAGATGGAGCAGTGTGTGGAGGTGTTTGTGGAGAAACGGATGCAACACAAGAATTTGATATTTGGGTTTTAAGAAGCGGTTTTAAAATAGTAAGGCCTATTTTCCGAGGATATGCTCTGGCTGCAGCATTGGAAAGCCAAAGGATTGAAAAGTGTTTCTGTTGTTAATAACAGGAGTATTGCATTTCCCTCTGCATCATAGCCTTACAAAGGGCTAAAATGTTCAGGATGCTGTACTTAGGAGAACCATCTTCACACCGAAAGTTTGGGAGAAATCTCACTATAGTCTTGCAGGTTAAGTCTAGAACTGAAAGGACAATAAAAATTGTAATAGGAAGTAGGCAGCTGGCCCATACCACACTGGAATGGTCATCCTACTATGCTGGTCATGGTAGCTGAACAAATTTATTTGAAGACCTTACTGTATTTGGATTTAAGATCGTCTTAAAAGAATTTTAAGAAATGAAGGATAAAGAAGAGTGAATCTTCAGGATAATTCAGTGAAAATCTTAGACACGATTAACTTCTCAGTTCATCTGACTAGGTGACCTTCCTTTCTCATCTACTGTCACACTGACCCTTTACTCAGGATAACTAACTGGCTGGTTGGCTCCTTTCTCTGAAGTGCTGTTTTAATCCCCTGTTCCTAGCATGGTAACATACAGGACTAAGAAGCAGCCTACTTCAAGGAAATGTTTGGATCCATGCGGGTGTTCAGAAAACTTGTTCTCATATAATACTAATGTCAGTGGTACCAGAAAGCACAGTGCTAAGAGCTAGCAGAAGGCCCACCAGAAGCAGCAGCTTGGTACTGTTTGGTCTTGTGGGGCCTTCTCTATATACATGCAGATTTCAGGATTACCTAAGAGCTACTAGGGTTGCTTGTAGTAAAATAGGAACCCTGATTGTCCAGTGGTTCAAGTTCTTGGCTGATAACCACCAAAGTTTGGCAGTCCATATCCAGCAACTACTCCATGCGAGAAAGACATAGAAACCTGCTTCTATAAAGATTACAACCTTGGAAACCATACAGGGCAGTTCTGCTGTGTTTTATGGAGTTGGCTCAGTTCAACGGCAGTGGGCTTGTTTTTGGTCATGTAAGTTGGTTCTAAGGATCATTATGAAACAGTTGTCATTGAGTCCATTCTGACTCATGGGGTCTGATTATCTCAAGAGGAACTCAAAGGCCAGTCTCCTACACAGTTACTATCCCATGAAGAACACTCATAGCTGCCCCAAGTTAGGGACCTTGTGGAGGTTGTCTGCCTCGGGGTAGACCGTAATGTTGTTAGTTGCTATGAGTTGGAAATTCTGACACATTGCAGCCCCGTATGTGTAAAACCGAACAGCTCTATAAAGTTTTCAAGGCTGTGATCTTTCAGAAATAGACCACTGAGTTGAGGCCTCAGAAACTTTTTGGCTAGTGTTGTTACATGCTGTTACATCAGTTCTGACAAAGTGACCCCATGTGACAAAAGTAGAACAGCCTACAGGTTTCCTAGGCTGCAGTTTTTATTGGGCCCTATTTGCTGGGTCTTTCTCCCATGAAGCCACTAGTTGGGTTCCAACTGTTAACTTTTGGGCTTAATAATTGAGTTTATATAACCCAGAGACTGCTAGCTCAGAACAGAACCTCTAAAGTAGAAGAGATCTATAGCTGGGTTTATTTGTCCAGTAGTTTGTGTGAGGTAAATGGTATTTGGGCTTGATGTGTTCCACAGCCTCACAGTCTGAGGATTTTATTTATGCACTGATCCAGTTAGGAGGCTGTGGAGACGAGGGCTATAGCACCTTTTCAGAGGCATATGCCTCCAGTCACTATGAAGCCCCCATTACTAAAATGGATGTGATTTGTCTCAACTCCAAGTTGATGAACATCTTTTATTACTATGTTGCTTTGTTGTCTTTATAGCTTTTCCTCTCTGTGATATTTGGGCTTTGTGCCTTATAGGTGGAAGCTTGTGAACATTTTTCTTAATGTATGGCTTATTTGCGGTTACTGGGATAAGAAGATACAGTCCATTGAATTCCAGCCAGTGAATGAAGAATTAGCAGTGAAAAGACTTTTTCAACTTGTATTTTGGTGGGATGAAGCAGGAAGAAGATACTCAACTGACTTTCTTGTTAACTTTATATCAAGAAAGTATGAATTTAGTCAGCAACATTTTTTTCCTAGAAGGATTGCTCCTGTTACTCAAATACCTGATCTTTTATGCTACCCAAATGTCTTAGGATTTCTAGCTTCTGGTATCTAGACCAAGTTCATGGCAAATAATGTTGGCAAAGTGGAACAAGGACATGGAGAAGCTATACAAAGATGTTTTAAGTAGGTCAGCTTAAAATGGCATCTAGAAATTGTTTATTTTTTATTATGGAATTCAAAGATTTTATTCCTTTACAAGTTGGGGAGGAAGAGAAATGAAGGAAGAGGGAAGGTGGAAGGAATGTGTAAGTTGGGCTCTTGACTGTAGCTATAGTAATGGTCAAGTTTGGGTCAAATCCATGTGTTTGGTTTTGGTGTGGGGTTTTTTTTTTTGTTTTGTTTTGTTTTGTTTTTTAAAAAAGCAGAAAGTAGAGCAGCAATCTTCAGATGCACACCACAGACCAGTGCCACTCAGCACATGGTGAGCCATGTATGGTAAGATAAGTACAGAAAGTAGGACAAGCTTTTAGATATTGCCATGAAAGTTCTGTTTTACGTTACACAACTATTGGTCCTTCCAAACCAAAGCCCATTGCCAACAAATTGATTCTGGCTCATGGCATCCCGCTATTGGGTTTCTGAGGCTATGAATCTTGACTAGAGGATAGTGCCTCATTTTTCTCCCAAAGAGCAGTTAATTGGGTTTGAACTTTGGACCTTTCAGTTAGCAGGCCAACACTTAACCTACTATGCCTCCAAGGCCAATGAGAATGAAAAGAAAAAAGTTTTTTACTAGATATTTGAGAAGCACTGAGGTAGGAAACTATGATGTGCTCTCAAAATGACAGTATCTCATAGAAAGCCAGTCATACCAGGTGCTGATGAGTCAACTCTGACCCCATACAGGACATCCCCATGTATGTCAGAGTCTACCTGTGATCCACAGGGTGGAAATGACTGATTTTTTTGAAGGACATTTCCCACGCCTTTTTCTTCTGAGGTGACCCTGGATGGACCTAATTTTCAGCCTTTTGGTTAACTGTTTGCACCACCCAGGGATACAAGACTCTCATTAGAAAGATAAAACTTAGGAAATAAAAACATCTGTAATTACTCAGATTTCTTAGAAGCTAAAGACTCTCTTAAAATATTCTTATTAAAACTAATACATCAGTGAGGAACAGACCTAGTCTCTTTAAAGGAGTAATTAAATGTGTGATAAAGGAGATGGTTATCCTACTCAATATGGGGCCCTCTATCAGTTCTAAATCTGGCATCTGCTCGAAATTCTGCTGATTATCTTTCATTTATTAAAAAAAAACAAAAAACTAAGACTTTCAACTTGTTAAGATTCCCTTGGGAAAAACTCCCACTCATTATTCTTGTGGAATAAAAAGTCTGATAAATTTATATAAAGCCCTGTTCAGTTTTGGGATAGGGGATATATTCAAGGACAAGGACACAGGAACTTGGGGACATACTTGCATGTTTACCTTTTACCTAGTGCTTTCTGACCCCTATTTATTAGCAAACTAATGTTCATTCTCCTCAGATGTCAAGATTTCATTTCCTGATTCTGCTGAAAGTACCTCACCCAATAACAATATTCTCAGGAGCACTTTACTGGAAGCTTGAAATAATAGGAATGTTAGGCCATCGGAATAAGATAGTTCGTTCCTGCCTTGTCCATGTGTTCAAAAAAGTGTTTTTTAATAATTGACAAAGTTGCTGTGCTGTAGTTTTAAGTTAATCCTCCAGATGGCGCACATGTCTTACTCAGAGGGGCATGACCATTGTCTCCAGGGCTTCAGACTTCTTGTTGATCCTAGTATTTTGTTTAATTGTTTGACGAAGAAAATATGGAGCTATTCTGTTTATATAAGTCTACTTACACGAATGATCATTAAAACTTTTTGTATTTCGACTATTTATAGTGTCGAACTTTGAAGAAACAGCCACATTGATAAGGTACATCTTAAAGGTTTTGCCAAAGGAAATAATGCTAAGAGAAGGTCAGGACACGCTCTTCACTCATTAGAATTAAGGAAATAATTAAAACTTATGAAAACACAGCACTCACACCTTCTTCCACACCAAAATCCCCAAGTAACATACACCCCCCAAATCAGAGCATATAATCATTAGGTGTCATTTAGACAGCTCCCACTCACGGGAGCCCCTGTACGACAAAGCAGAAGGCTGCCTAATCCTGCATCAGCCTCGTCCTTGCTCCGCCGGAACTGAGTGTTGCACCCACTGTGTGAATCCAACTCACCGAGAGTTGTCTTCTTTTTCTTTGACTCTTGTTTACTAACTATATAATGCGCTTTTACAGGGACTGGCCACTTCCTGCTAATGTACCCAAAGTATGTGAGATGAACTGAGTAGAAAAACAGATTTCTAAAAAAGCCCACCAAAAAAAAAAATGAAAAAGGCCATAAAAATGATTTTTCTGAGGATTTCTGTCTCATTTAATCCTACTAGTTTTATAAATACTGGTGTTTAATTTTGGGGGGAGATAGGCTACATTTCATAGAATAAAACTATGAATTTTCTAACAAGGTACTGTATTGTGAAATGTAGCACCTATCAACAAATTATTTTGTAGTTTTTACTATTATGTGCAAATAGCAATGAAAAATATTGTAATATTAACATAACAGAAAATGGCATTGTAGGTGCTCCTCTTACCCAAACACTTCTTACCATCAGATCTCAGAGCCTCCTGTTGCCTTTAATAGTTTATTCTCTCTTTAGTTGTTGATTCAGCAAGTACTTATTGATGCCAGGCACCGAGTTGCCTGCAGAGTTTCCATAGTGAGGAAAAAACACACCCTATGTGCAGAAAGTTT